CTGGGTTCCTCTCTGCCCCCTTTCACCTCAGGTGGGATGGGAAACACAATCCTAGCTTGGGTTGCCATGATTGAAACATGGACTCAGCAGGAGAAACGCAATGGTTGCAACAGTCTTACACAAGATGGATGAGAGCTGTCAGGCCCAAAGAATCAGGACCATAAGTTATGTTGCAGTTCAGGACATTGATCGCTCAAGCCTACATACAGGAATCTAGCCGACTAAAGTACTAAAGGGGCACCAGATAAGTGTTAACAGTATTCAAGACTGTTAGACCGTTTGTGGGAACATAACGACTCTGGGCTGATGACTTGCTTAACTCCCCCTTCCATCTCTGCCTGCTCTTTTCCTAGAGAACCTGAATTATCTGCAGTTCCATACTGTATCCCCAGTTCAGATTCAAAATATTTTTTCTAACCTTTCCCAAAGCCTGACTTACGACCGTTTTTCATACCTGTGACAATTTCAGCATCCCCAGGGTCACGTGATCACAATTCGAGCGCTTGGAAACCAGCGTGTGTTTATGATAGTCTTAGTGTCCCGGGGGTCATGTGATCCCCTTTTGCGACCTTCTGAACAAGCAAAGTCAATGGGGAAGCCAGGCTCACTTAACAACCGTGTGACTAGCTTAACAACCGCAGTGACTCACTTAATAACTGTGGCGAGAAAGGTCGTAAAACGGGGCAAAATTCACTTAACAGCTGTCTCACTTGCAACAGGGATTGTGGTCGTACGTCCTGAGCGTGGCTGGCTCAGGAATTCCGGGAGTTGAAGTCCACAAGTCATAAAAGAGCCAAGGCTGCCTACCCCTGGTTTAGGACGACCTATATTAAATTTGTGGCAGACACAGGATTGAAGCACATTAAGTTCACCTCTACCGCTTTCTTGAGTTTGTTCTGCTTGTGCAGGAGCAAAAGCAGGAAATGATTTTCTTTGGAGAACTGTTAGTTTTAATCTCACACATTGTCACTCGCCTGCTGTTTTGAATGTCATTTGTGCCTAGAGGCAAAGGCCTGGATTGCGAAAAAGACTCTGCCTTCGAAAAGCTCTGCTTTCATACCCGAGCATTTCCTGTGATTTTTGTTCAAATGCAATTTCCAGCCCCCACCCCCACGGCTCTGGTGACAAATGTCGTAATTGTACAAATGGTACAAGACAGATGCAAAGAGAGGAACGCGGGAGATCTGGAATGACGCACGCTCCTTCGCTGATATACCTCTCTTTCTCTCTCTCGCGACTTCTTTATTGTTTCAGCTAAAAGAAAGGCTACGGAAGGAAACAAGCTCTTTTGCTTTGAGTCCTGTTGTCTTTTAGGACCTGGTGGTGCCCCAAACAATTATTCAGAATCCTTGAGATCTCAAAATGCTCATAGTGTCTGGCTCGTAGTGTGTGGAATTGAACCTGGAGAACAGGAAATAAGGCAATAAATCACAGCCAAAAAAACTAACCAAAGGAACCAAAAAACAACCAAAACATACAAAATTTAAACAAATTAGGAATCAGGACTGAAGGACTACAAAGATGTGGAAAGACCTCTGAGCTCTGGAAGGTTTTCTTGAAGAAAATCTGAAAGACTCTTCGGTTCCTTCTTATTTGGAAAGATCTAGTGGACACTCTTACTCCATGGAGTCAATCCAAATTGGAGTCAGACCAGATTAGGAATCAGGACTGAAGGATTGCAAAGATGTGGAAAGACACCTGAGTTCTGGAAGGTTTCCTCCAGACAAACGGAAGAAATCTTCAGTTCCTTCTTATTCTGAAAGATCTGGTGGACACTCTTAGTCAGTGGAGTCAATCCAGGGTTTTGAAAGTCCTTCACTCAGATGACCACAGTTCAGTCACTCCCTCCCTCACAAAAAAATGAGTTTGCCTACTCACTTCCTTCCTCATTTCCAATTAGTGTGAAAATTCCAAGCATAAACTTCCAGAGAAATGTTGGGTAAGACTCAAGATATGCCAGGAGGTGATCTTCATAACCCAAGGACATTCAACAATGCCCCTGAACCAATATCATGCCTGGCTTTAGGTTAATGTTTAACTTAAGTGTGATTCTGAATTGAGCATCTCAAGAAGAGATAACCAAACACTAGTTTTCTAAGTTAACAAGCTACATGGGAATCTAGATTAAGTCAGAAACATCATATTCAAGAAGTCCTATGAGGACTCGTTGAAGGAAGCTGAAAATTTGGTGATATGGTGAAATCAGAAAGTTGATGTGTCAAAAAAACGACGTGCCTTGTTTTTCAAAGATAAATTAATTTCCTTCCCCCTTCCCCCAACACCTCTCCCTTATTGAGGCTGAACTTCTCAAAACCCAAGAAATTTTAGATAATTGTCCCTACCCGGTGTGTGTGTGCAATAACTCTATCCTGTTTGCAATGTGGTGTTGCCAATTTACAGGTGCCTTCTCCCCTGGCCCTCAAAAGCTTGCCCAGACTAGCATCGTTGTGCGAAAATGAAGCGGGTTTCAAAAGAAAATATCTGTAAAAATGTCAGGTGTTTTTTTTTAAAGCAAGAGAAGAAAAACAAATATACTTTCTCGGTGATCAAACAGAAGATGAAATATCCAAGGGGTGACTTCACAAAGACCTTTGCAATTAGCAGGATGGGCCTTTGAAAATTGCTTTCTAAATCTGCAGCAGGCAGTTGCTGGAGCTATTATAGATTATGTTAAGATCGAATGTTAAATGCGTCTGGTTAGTATCTGATTAATTCTTAATGCGCTCCTGGTTGTTTATACGTAGGTTCCTAATCAAAGGGAACCATCCATTTCTTCTTTCTTTATGCCTTTTCCTTCTGTCTTCTTCTTTTTGCTTTCTGTTTGTTTGCTTAGTTTTTGCACGGAAGGATGGGAGAGTTGTGTTGTTGTTATTGATGGTGGCGGTAGTGGCATAGCCCAGCTACTTGCCGGCATGCAAACATTGTGCATTTGTCTGAAATGGTATAAGGTCTCCTGCTGGAACAGGGAATTGGACTAGAAGATCTTCAAAGTCCCTTCCAATTCTGTTATCCTCTTATTCTAATCTAAATTGTACCCATGAGCTTCCAGTTTTCAGTTTACAGATGTTCCTTCACTTCCTGCCCATCTTCATTTTCATTCACGGCAAACGTCTGTGGTCTCGACAGCATTTGGCTGGTTGTAATAGTTGGCACAAGCAGCTGTTCACATTTCCCTGGAATGAGAAATGACTCCCACACCTTTTGCCTTCTCCGTGGAAGGAGGGCATTGGCGGAGAGGCACAGCAGTGACCTTCCACCAAAGCTGAGCGTGAACAGAAAATGAATGAGGGAGAAATCAACAAAGACAAACTTGGAGGCTTGGGAAGAATGTGAAGGTTCAGAGGACCCTGTCTTGCTGCAGTGTGATAATAGGACAAAGCTTAGATATGGGCTCTAGAACACCAGTGGACCCCAAATTACATTTCTCCATCAGAGATGAATAATCTTTCTGGGACTAAGTTCTGGAGCCCAGATAATGCAAACTAGGAAGGGAGATTGAGATTCGAGAGAAAGTTGGAGACTAGAAAAGAATAGAAAGCAGAGAAGGG